CATATTGAGTTTGAATGAGCATTTGAAAAGTCACTCCTTTACATTTCTTTTTCCAGTGATCACATCTTCTTCTTCTGAACTGCCCCTGGCCAGTTCGCTTCTATCAGTGGTCAAGAACTTGTTTTTCACCTCCCATGCTACCTAAGCCCGACTGAGCACAATGAAATTTTCTGCGCTACAACCGGGACTATTTGTGACGTAGATACCACTTCACAGTTACCGTCTCTGAGGTTTCCGCTGGAACTGTACGTACCAAATATATTTCTGCGTCTTTGGAAATTGGTTTCTCGTGTGGTAATTTATCAGAAGTCTCTCTCTAAGCGGAATTTGTTTTTCATCAAAATCCAACGGACTACGGAGTCGACTCGCGCGCAGCTATCGCCCTAGGGAAAAAATCGTTGACACCCAGGAAGAGCTGGATTTATTCAGGGCCTTCGACAATCTCCAAACGGCTGAGTCGCTCCTACATATATGTAATACCGTTCATATTTTTTCTCTACCGTGATATTTTACAAAGTAAGCGTATTTTCCACCATTTTGTTTTGAATAATTGCCATACTCCATCGTATACAGTTGAAATTACCTGTTTGATCCTCGAAAGCGAATATACACTTACGAGCGCAGGTAGTTCATGAACACAAAGCAACTTTTGATAGTTAACCCACCCGGACCGGCATTAAGCATGAAGGAAAGTCTATTGACATGACTTTACCTCCCAGGATTAGTACTCACTCTCTTTATACTCGCAACCAGGACCCCGCAAACGCGCTAAAAGCGTAATCACAGCAAAATCTGTTGGTTACGAGGACGAGTCATGCACCGGAGGATCCTATATTCTGCGGATGACATAAAAATCTGGAAAGTCATCCAGAATTCTGCCGATGAGACGAACTTCCAAGAAAATCTTTGTCCATTTAACGAGTGGTCCCGCAGATGGCTCTTGATTTTCAATTTAAACAAATGTACCATACTGCGCCTCAAAAATCACATCCCTACTACGCGACAAAACAATCTCAACGGAATAGCACTTCGAGATGCAGAAACGTAAAAAGATCTCGGAGTCTGGGTTGCGGACAGCCTAAGGCCTTCTACACAATGGTGTAAGGCGGTCAAGGCCGCAGCTTCTAAGCTATATGCCATCAAGCGGGCATTCGCAGTTTTCGATGAAGACTGCTTCTCAAAGTCTTCGGCACGTTTGTAAGGTCGCATCTCGAATATGCAATTCAGGCCTGGAGACCGTGGACGCATCAGGATTACAATCTGCTCGAAAGGGTGCATAGGCGAGCAACAAAATTAATAAGAGGTCAAAGTGCACTGCCATGCGAGATCCGATTAACAAACCTTAATCTCTATCCTCTGAGTTATAGGCAGTTGCGCGGAGACTTAATACAAATATTCCGTATCGCGCGTGGCTTGGACTGCGCCCTTCGGTGTGATTATTTTTTCCAACTAGCCACTACAACTGACCTCAGGGGACATCTCTTCAAGCTACGTGTGCAGTAGCGTAGATTGCATATGAGGAAATATTTCTTCTCCAACCGTGTCGTGGAACCGTGGAATAACCTGCCCGAGACGGTTATCATGTCTTTAAAGATAAAGACCGTATGTACAAATTAACAAACAAATACGGGATACGAATTAAAAGGGGTGAACCGATAAACGAGAATATTGGAATAGGGTGATGAGTTACGAAATAAACGTTACGTAAAACGAATGAACGGTTCTGGGGTACGTAAACGGTAAGGAATAGGGACTTAGCGGTGAGTTCGTCGACAGGCGGCGGTTTGTGTCCACTTGACCCAAATTCTGAAAAGGGAGGACAGGAAGCTAAAAGGCCCGTTTAAAACAATTGGTCGTTACAGCGGGTTGTCAATCTATCTGGCCAGCTGTAAAGGGGCGGTCGCACAGTTCCTATGTGGTTTTGTGGAGGCTTACGATCGTTGTCTGGACTAAGAGCTGGGAAAGATGAATATATATCACGAATAAGAAGCATTCAAAGGTAAGTCATAATTAAAGCTGTCAAAATAATATTGAATCATGTATCATATTGTTCTTGTGAATGTGAACTTATAGGAGTAGTGGTCGACTGTTTACTATGACATAATATAGTTGTATATATGGCCTTAATATAGACGAACGCACAAGTAATATGCAGGTTCTTATCGAAGAGGATATTTTTATTAGCATCCTAATGGATATTAAGTGTCAGGTGACATAGCTGATGGAAGCTATGGGAGGAAAGAAAGAATATCACTATCTGTTCTATGTTTGTCACTGACGCTTTTTTTTACAAATTTGATCATTTTAGTGCTGTTCCGGTATTATTCAAGCGGCTGGGATCATGAGAGCCCTTTCGGACCAAATTCAATATCAAAGACTTGACTTTAAAAATGTCCTATCTTAGTCAAATCTAAATGTGCATTGTTATTTGAAAGGAATTTCTTAGTTTTTATTTTAAACTCGATTAGGGTTCGCCTTTTCCGCAAAGAACTTGGAATAGCATTCCAGATAGTCGCATATCTTATGTAGAAGAACTTTGACCGTTGGGACTTCGTGAATTTGAAGGTTTTTATAATATCTTCGTTATTTCAGGTGTTTCTGGGGGCGTTTTAGGTTGTAAGTTAATTAATTTTGAGAATATCTTGGTTATTGGTGACCTTAAATAGGAAGTTTAGACCATTTTGGAGTTTTCTGATCCAGAGGGGTCGAAGACCGTATTGATGATATAGTTTTTATTATGAACCATGGATGCCATCACTTCTAGAAAACCACCTAGTAAAACGTCTCCGAATGCCTTCTAGTTTCTTTCGGCCGTCTGAGGGCATTATGCCGAAGAAAATTGAGCAATAATCTAGGAGAGGCAAACGTACATTTGAAAAAAAATGTATTCTTAGTGCATCTAAGGTGAAATTTTTACATATGAATCCTCACAGTCGAGTGGCTTAGGTGATATTTGTTAAACGTGGGCAGATAAATCAAAGGTATTTGTTCATCTGAGACCTAAATCTTTTATTGATTGGGCCTCCGTTATTTCATTATACTCGAATATTATGGGGGGAAGTTTTTGTGGGTCAAATATCAGGAGATGGCATTTTTCGAGCGAAAAGGGCATCTGCCATTGACTACTCCATTCGCTCAGTTTTCTGAGGTCAGTATTAACTGTTCTATGAATATTGGCTACTGCATTCACGTTATATGTATATGCAAGTTTAAGCTCGTCCGCATATAAAAACGTCTTAGCTGAGACAGATTTGGTCGATAAGTCGTGAATATAAATGAGAAATAGAAGGGGGCCTAGGATAGTACCTTGAAGTACTCCACTGGTAATAGGGCATGCTTCCTAGGCTACCCTGCCAGCACCAGCCCCCTCTGGCCCCCACATGGCCAGAGGATGCTATAAGGGGGCTGGAGAGTGGGCTATGGCGGGGCAAATCCCCGATGTGGCCCCCTCTGGCCCCCTCATCGACAAAAAAAATGCGCAGGGGGACGCCTTATAGTTATCGTTTTTTGCCCCCACCCATGGCCATTATCGACTGTCTGACCGTAATACCGATCCATTAACGTCTAATTACTCGCGTTATAATCCTGATCACCCTTTTCCTAGACAGATTTTCCCCGGTATCTGTCCTATTTTATCCCTTGTTACCTTCTAGCGAACCCCATTTCGCCAAATATGTCATGTTTCATTCCGGCTCGCCTTCCTAAAGTCAATATCTCCCGCGACCGTTAGCGGACCTTCACGCGTGATTGCAAACCCCCCAACGAACCATATCCATCAGCACACTTGAACGGCATTTATTGGTTAAAGAAAATTTATTGATCGATAAAGATGAAAATTTGATACGTACAAATAGTCATGTTTCCTCAAGGGACATATTTGGTAATCCGTCCATGTCGATGGCGGGTATCTACAGTAAAATAAAGCACAGCGTCCTATTAATTAAATTGTCAAAAACATACTATTGAAATAAGGCATTTTAGTAGTATATTTTATGATCTAAGTAGTTTGAAGTTGATAGGCTCGAATAAATGCAGGTTTAATAGATATAAAGAAACGCTCACTTACAGTGTCCTCGGAAGTAGATTGTATCATATATTCTTCGGCTGAGCTGTAGCTGACGGGAAGCTGAAATTGGCTTATAAAGACTCAAGTCAATTTATTTACCGTGACATTTGCAGTGGTATTGTCTCTCCGCTTTGATCGGCCACCGTATCTGTCACGCGCGCCGTGGAACCAATCAATTGTACTCTTGCGAATTGTGTCAACGGAGCAATTTGAGAAGGCGGCGTGTTCACGAATTGCAGCTGAACAAGTAATCTTAAAAATAAATATCCTACCAATAACAAGGCCATAAAGGGGGCTGCCGACGAAGGACTGCTTACCTCTTGCACCGCCCCAGCAGAAACTGAGGCATAGGGGGTGGCCGAGTAGAGTAATCAGTAGATTTCTGACAAACTCTTTCTCGTTTCGCCCGTCTGTAATCGCCAGACGTTTAATCTACAATCCATTCAAATAAAGAAGTGTCAGTATATGTACATACCGCGTCTTGAGCGAAACTAGCATTCTTCTCAAGCTCACTGACGAAAGCCTTGTAAGCCTCCTTCGTACACAGAGGCAACTTCAGTGAAGGAGGTCTCGCTTCAGCAGGCAGACGTAATTCCTGAACGGCCTTTAAAATTTCGGCCATTGTAGCCTTAACCTGCGTTATGTCAGCCCGTAGTTCAACGAGTTCCTCAGCAACGTAATCAACTTTCTTTCTACTCGCATGTCATCAAGAGTCAGAACAGTCTTACCGGACGCATTCACCATCGTGCTGCACCTGTGATAACCGTTTGTCAAACGCGGTCGTGCTGGGTTCCCGGGGCGGCCTTAATTAAACTTTAAAAGAAACGGCGTACTGATTAGCCCTTGGTGGCGTAGGTTGGCTGGAGTCTCTCCACCAAGGTGTATTTTCCGAGCTATTGCGTGGTCTAAAAGTTGGCATAATATGCACGGATTCTTACTGGAGAATGCGTGGCGGCGTGGGCCAGGCAGTTAATTGATTATCTTGTCTTGGCCTTTGCGCAGCCATTTCTTCATCATCATCATCCTCGTCGTCGTCTGAGGTGAGCTGGCGGACAAACCTACAAAGATAAATTAATGAAAAGCAAACACTTACCTTTTCCTCATCCCTCGGCCTAATTCGGTAGGCTCTGAGTGGGAAAGATCGTCAGTGTCTACAGCCTTTTTTTCCAGCTGAAGTGCTCTGTCGAGTGAGAGGTCATTCTTCAGCACACGGACCGCGTAAATCTTTGTGCTTTCTGGAGGCCTTTCGTTATTCACAAGTAGACGGTCACGTAGCTTGTGGTTCTTAACCCACATCACACAGTCTTCGCTGTGGAACCAACACATCGGCACGGCCGACACAGATTTATCATTCACAAACTCAACAACCGCATACATCTTTAAGCAGTGTCCACAAAATGTAAAATCGAAAAATGTCTATGAGATGCAAAACGGAAAAATTGGGAGATCAAAAATCAAAAAGTATGCAACATGGGAATGAGGTAAAAACAACCGTCCAGGTGTAGCGCAACGTATTTACAAATAATGTCATCAAGAGAAGCATTCGAAAGTTTGCTGTCCAAAAGGGAGGCCTTAAAAATGAGTAAATTTGAGGAAGGGAATGCAGGATCCAGGCAGTCTTGGCAATCAACAAACTGGCGGTAAACTATGCCTGTAGCCGACACAGATGTCAGTACGCACGGTCTATCGCCGACAAGTACCACATTGTCAGGAGATTGGGTCGACAAAAGATACCCGTTGTGTAATATGTCCTTAGAGCTGCGGGGCAACTGCAAAGACCGTGGAACTCCCTCATCGTCGTCCAACAGCGTGGGACCTGTGGACAACTCAGGCAGGCGCCTTTCACTAATGCGCCTGTACACCTGCGCGGCTACGTTTGTCGGTACTTTAATGTAACTGCGGACGTTTTGCAGAAACGACTCGAAGCGAAAAGCCGAGAAGTTGTCTAACACTCCGAACCGCGATACATCTGCGTGAAGGTGGACCAGACAATGCACGTTGTAAACCAGGTCAGCTGGATTGTACAGCTTGCCAAAGTCTTCTACGAAGCCATTTAAAAGGATGCGTGCAAAGTCAATGCATGTAATGTGTAACCGGGGATGAGAAAATATATACATGGCAACAGACAACTTCAGGAAGTGCTGATACCGCTCCTGGTCAAGAAATGAATTTAAAACTGCCGGCCCGATGTAAAGGAGAAATTGCCGGAATTCGGCCGCCTTCCAATACTCCAGACAATCCAGAGTGCGGCACTTCCGAGCAAATTCTGCCGGTAGACAATTGCTGCACTGTTTAATCCGCGCATTGAGCGCCGCAGAAAACTTCTTCACCCCGAGGCGCCACATGTGCAGCAATTTACGCATTACTCCCAGGCATACCAGGTGCATGTAGTCCATGGGAAAGCAGGCAACCATATCGATGGGTAACTCCTCGAATGGTGATATGCCCCGATGGTGCATGGCCTGCTTTCGCAACCGGAATGACATATCGTCGCGAGGACGCCCACTATATGGCGGAAATGTCATCCGGTTAGCTATGGGAATTCCTACATGACAGCACCTAGAGTGGTTTAGGTTAGCTAGATGAACAAACCTACCTATCGCATCCATAGTATCCGTTATGTGCCTTGACTTGGCGGATGTAGGAGCGGGCAGGGGCATCGCAAATTATATTGGCTAGCTCCACTTTTACAATAGCCCCTGTACCTGGGAGTCGCAGGCCACCATCTAGAAGTCCTTTCAGTTCGCAAACACAGTCATGAAGAAACTCGTCGACTGGTTCGGGTTTGCCGAAGCCGGAAAATACACCAACGACGAAAGGATCACCAATAACAGGGTGACTAATTCGCGCTAGTATTAGCCAAAGGCATTGACCCGATCCTTTAAACAACTTCATCCCATCAATGTGCAATTGGATGCGCATTTCAGGAATTTCAGTCGTTTGACGACGGTTTACCTCATCCAGCAAAGCTCGCTCAATGCCCAGATGGACATAGTTCCCGTTGCTGAAGACCTTGTTGTTACAACTCCTGGGAGTCTTCAGGAGCGTTCGCGGGTCCTTCGGGACTTCTGGGTGGAAGGGCCGCAGCATATCGAATAAAGCCTTCATCATAGAGAGAGGCATTCGTGTTTTCAAACATAGTTCTTGTAAATCGGATAGAAAAGATTTTCCCACATTTTCCGTCACATGCACTTGGCTGCCTGCAAAATCTACACCCACTAATATTCTACATCGATGGAAAAACCTACCAGTGTAACCCTCAGCCGTTAATTCTGGCATTTCTAATTCAGGAAAGTCGCTTGGCAAAGTAGACGCCGATGGAACATTAACCGGTTGGGCAGCCTCCGTTGCGGCATAGTAGGCCCTCTTTAGGCGCTGGATTCGCTTATAGACAGTGCTTCGGTTGATTCCAAAATACTTACGCTTCATTTCTACTTAATGTCAATGACAAAAATGATAAACAAAGGCTCAAAGTGCAGCTTTTCAGATGACTCTGCTAGAACGGATATTTCATTGATATTGCTTAAATCAACAGGCAAATATTCAATGATAATACAAATTTACAGGTCAAAAGTAACAAAATATCATAAAAGACAGCAAAAGGACAGTTCGTAACATACCACAGTAACGTATGCACGTACACCAACGTAGACGGTATTAGAACTCACAACGAGAGGAACGCAGCTCACGTGAGAGATAAGTGCCGCAAAGTGACACACTTAAACAATTAAGAGCTTCATATCAGGATTGCCAAGATATGTAAAAAGCACAACTTCCGAGGTCCTAAAGTACTTTTTACTATACAAAAAACAATTTTAAACCGAAAAATGCACGCCTATTCACGGACTAATGCCTGTTAATAGTGCATTACCGACGAGAAAACTACGAGGGGGCTGGCCCCCTCATAGCCCCTTCTTGGCCCCCTTTCAAGAGGGGGCCAAGTGCTGGCAGGGTATGTTTCGAATTTGCATCACCTGGTATCGGTTTTGAAGATATGATTTATGAAAATTGAGAAGGGTGGCCTAAGTCCATGACTTTTGAGCTTTATCTGTAGTCTTTTCAGGGGGACTTTGTCAAAGGCCTTTTTTAGCTCAAGGTATATTGAAGCTACTGTGTTTCCATCATCTCAATAACTGGAAACGAATTCCAAAAAATTAGGTGGCAGGACTGCAATGACTTTTTAGGTAAAATGCATGTTGAGAGGGGGGAATGAGGTTGGCGTTCATGAGATGGTCTAGCTATTGGTTGTAGATTATTTTCTCGAGGATCTTAGCTATAGCCGGTGTTCGGTGAACACCAGGAGAGTTTTGGGTATAAGATCGGTTGCCGCTTTTAAAAAAAGGTGTAATGGTCGAGTATTTCCACCTTTCCGGAAAAAATGCACTTGACTGAGTAGGGTGAATAACTTAGATAGGAATATTGGAGCATATTTCGTATGCTTCAGAATACATGATGGGATTTTTTCTGTCCCGTAGGAGTTGGTGTTTGATATTTGTTTAATGGCTACTTTAACAGTTCCTTCACTAAAACGGATTTCCCTAAGGATGCGTTCAGTCATCTCGGTCTGTTGGGAAATCGTTCCCTATTCGATTGTGTAGTTAGCTGAGAAGTATCATTTGAGTGAGTTTGCTATTTGGTTGTCATTTGTTATAACTTGTCCTGATTCAGCAATAATGGTTCGTGGTCCTGACTGTCGATGATTACTCACTAGTTTCTGAAACATCTGAGCTGTTCGTTCGGGGGATGTTAGAGCCCGATGTTCTGCTGCTATGGTATTTTGTGTTTCTATTTTCGCAGCTAGGTCCTGAATTTGCCTATTTCGTCGAAGTGTAGACAAATAACTTACAGAAAGGTTGCGTAGCTGTTTTCGCAGTTTTTTAGTTTAGTTGAAGGGAAATGCGAGTCAGACATATTACAGAATTGCGTCGCAAGATAATCAGTATTACTACCGTGCCCAAGTAATTCTACCTAATCGAACAAACATTTCAGAATTTCAGCCAACATTTCTTGAGATCGGTCACTCACTATATGTGTAAGTTTTGGTTTAATTTAACGACAGTGTGAGTAAGAATCGGATTTGGATTAAGATAGGAGATATTGTCAACCGCTAAGTAAGAGCTTTAGGTAGGGATAGGGTCAAGATAAGGGCAACAAATAAGTCTTATATTTGGGTAACTATGGTGGTTAGAACGCGGGAATACATTACTCTTTGCAGAATTATGCGCGGGTCTAACTTCTCGGGGCGTGCCTATTCCCGTGCCCTTTTTAGGGCGCCATGCAAGTGATTCCTAGACAAACTCCACATTTTTGTCGTGGTGATGTGCCTAGGTGCACGTTTTCGTCGTGCCAGCCACCTGCACCCTATCTCGCCCAGGCCTTCTTGACATTGTCTTCCCACGGAGTCCGTTCAAGGGAGGAATAAGTCTTGATAGATTTTAGGCAAATCCACAATCACCATAAGATAAGTAACTTTAACATCAACGTCCCTACTCCTACCCTGCCGCGGAACACTCAGTGGACATCGTCCAAATCGACGATCAAAGGACAAAGAGAGAGAATAATAGAGATCCAAACAAGGGAATCGTGGTTTGTGCTTGTTTTCAGCAAGCAGAGCCTATCATGTTGCATTGTGATACTCCGTGAAATCCAAGCGATCCTTCTCCAGTTCATCCAGGCGTTTAATCACCCAGGATACTTACACTGTCTCCGCAAATAATGAGCGTCAACTAGGGGAGGGAGACATCTGTACATGTTTTAATGAGTTTTTAAGCAAAGAACTACGACCAAACAGGCTAGGACAAACCATGACTTTGACTTTATCAAACCTAGATTTTATAAATTGGGTTCTGATACGTATCGCTGTGATGTGAGAACTGATGCCACTTCTCTTCACTGCCGATGCATACACGATTATGTATTTTGTCAGTACCTTTCTGACCCTGGAGCGTATATACTTCGTCCTCAACCTCACTCCGGTAGTGAAAAGGGTCTCATGAGCCCTTTCGCACCTTTTCGCGCTCATAAAATATATATATATGATCTCTAAACCAAGGTGACTGCTGCATCGCTTAGCTATGATGACACAGCTTTGCTGGCCTATATTCTACGAATGTCGCACTTGATGAGGAATAAAGTTATTGGGCGTAGGGAGCATGAGTTTGAAAAGGACCAGAGTGAACGCCTAGTTTCTTTCCACAGGTGACTGGTGGGTGCATTTTGGTTTCTTTCCAGAATTTGTTCTCACCAACACCTTTTCTGGATGCGCGAAACAAGCGTACGAAGAACATGTTTGTCACCTCATACTGAGATCTTGTATGCTCAGTTTTCCCCACTTGCACGATTAAAATGTGGGTTCGGGAGTGGCCTGGTCAATACATGTAAATGTCTGATAGCATTGGCGATATACCGTATACTGTGGAAACAGTCGTGTGGATAGTATATGTAGTATAAAGCGATTTCAGCCTAGATAGATAGATAGATAATTTTTATTAAAGACCCGTCGGGGTCCCATCAAAGCAAGTTAAAATAAATTTACATGCGAGTTTTAGACGAGGTAGGCAGAATCTTTACAAAATGCAATTCCTAGTTTCTAAATTAGAAGTCCATTGAGAAACATGATGATTGAGGGGTGAAAAAAAACTCCTAAGAAAAAGTTAAAAATGATTGGATTAATTTTACAGGAGAAAAAATCCCCTCTTTAAAAATAATAACAGAAAAAAGCGAGCAGGACTGGCCTGTAGGTGGCGGTTTATAACGGAATGTTGTCAGTCATCGTCAGGGTATCAATAAATTTCCGCCTTGATGGGTACGAATGTGGGTCAGACAGGACTGGCTTGCAAATGGCATTGTATACGGGATTCACAATTGAGGTCGTCTGGGCCTGATTGGTACGCCGCGTCAAAGAGGCCAGACGAGAGGAACCGAGATGCGATCGGCCACAGCACGCTTCGAGCTCAGCCGAGCAGTGAGGAAGGGAGGTACGACCGAACTACTAGAAGACATTGAATACTGAGAATTCCGCCGTGAGCGTCAACAGACCGCATGAGGTCGGAATGCGGGAGATGACATCAAAAACCGCGAAAATTGTCGCTATCGGGGGGGGGAAGGATAGCAATGGATTTAGAAACCAATTCAAAACAGGGGTTTCTAATGATATAATTAAGAGTTACCACTTAACCTACCACTAAATCCCTGGAGGACCCTTCTCGAAGTCAAGAATCTGAGTGTTCGGGAATGAGACCGTTAATAGTGCCTTTATGCTTTCCGGTGTAAGATGGTTGCGTAATTTCGACTTGAATATCAGTAACCTAGGCGATAATCTAATTTCAGGCGGAA